ACCGCTCCACGCAAGGCTCTAAGATGAGACTTTGTCGTCGTCGTCGCCGCCGCCGCCACCGCGACGTCGTCGTCGTGGGCTCTACAGACCCCCAAGAGACCCTCCAAGAGACCCCCCACGCACGGCTCTAAGATGAGACTTTGTCGTCGTCGTCGCCGCCGCCGCCCTGTCCTCGATCCCTCGATCGTGTAAGCGTGGGCTCTACAGACCCTCAAGAGACCCTCCAAGAGAACCCCAAGAGACCCCCCCACGCAAGGCTCTAAGATGAGATTTTGTCGTCGTCGTCGCCGCCGCCGCCGCCACCGCGACGTCGTCGTCGTCGTCGCGCTGTCCTCGAGCCCTCGATCGTGTAAGCGTGGGCTCTGCAGACCCCCAAGAGACCCTCCCAGTGAACCCCCGGAGACCCCCCCACGAGAGGCTCTAAGATGAGACTTTGTCGTCGTCGTCGCCGCCGCCGCCACCGCGACGTGGTCGTCGTCGTGCCCGCTGTTCCTCGAGCACTCGATCGTGGGAAAGCCGTGGGCTCTACAGACCCCCAAGAGACCCTCCAAGAGAACCCCGAGACACCCCACGCAAGGCTCTAAGATGAGACTTTGTCGTCGTCGTCGCCGCCGCCGCCACCGCGACGTCGTCGTCGTCGTCGCGCTGTCCTCGATCACTCGATCGTGAAAGCGTGGGATCTACAGACCCCCCAGGAGACCCTCCCAGAGAACCCCAAGACACCGCTCCACGCAAGGCTCTAAGATGAGACTTTGTCGTCGTCGTCGCCGCCGCCGCCGCGCACCGCGCTATCATTTCGTCATTTAGGGAGATTTGTGTGGGCTCTACAGTGGAAACCGAGACCCTCCAGAGAGACCCAAGAGACCCCACGCAAGGCTCTAAGATGAGACTTTGTCGTCGTCGTCGCCGCCGCCGCCCTGTCCTCGATCCCTCGATCGTGTAAGCGTGGGCACTACAGACCCTCAAGAGACCCTCCAAGAGAACCCCAAGAGACCCCCCCACGCAAGGCTCTAAGATGAGACTTTGTCGTCGTCATCGCCGCCGCCGCCGCCACCGCGACGTCGTCGTCGTCGTCGCGCTGTCCTCGAGCCCTCGATCGTGTAAGCGTGGGCTCTGCAGACCCCCAAGAGACCCTCCCAGAGAACCCCCGGAGACCCCCCCACGAGGGGCTCTAAGATGAGACTTTGTCGTCGTCGTCGCCGCCGCCGCCACCGCGACGTGGTCGTCATCGTCGCGCTGTCCTCGATCCCTCGATCGTGTAAGCGTGGGCTCTACAAACCGTCAAGAGACCCTCCAAGAGAACCCCAAGAGACCCCCCCTCGCAAGGCTCTAAGATGAGACTTTGTCGTCGTCGTCGTCGCCGCCGCCGCCACCGCGACGTCGTCGTCGTCGTCGCGCTGTCCTCGATCCCTCGATCGTGTAAGCGTGGGCTCTACAGACCCTCCAGAGACCCTCCAAGTGAACCCCAAGAGACCCCCCCACGCAAGGCTCTAAGATGAGACTTTGTCGTCGTGGTGGACGCCGCCGCCACCGCGACGTCGTCGTCGTCGCGCTGTCCACGACCCGTCGATCATGTAAGCGTGGACTCTACAAACCGTCCAAGAGAACCCCAAGAGACGTCGTCGTCGTCGTCGTCGTCGTCGTCGTCGTCGTCGCCGCTCCCAGAGCCTTCGGGGCCTCTCCTTGGCCCTCCTACGGAAAATCCTGCAAAACATAGCGAATTAGTCGAGACATCCTCGAAATTCCTGCGCGCTGGACGCGGCACGCGCGAGACATCCTCGGAATTCCTGCGCGCGAGTCTTCCTTTGCATCCAAGTCCTGACCGAACTGATCTGGATCTGAAGCTCGAGCTTCCTGAACACATAGGAGCTGCCCCAGAGCTAATTGACAGGGGGACATGCCAGGAGGACGCGCCGCGAAACGTCCCCAGGGACGCGCCAGGCGACGTGCCAAGGGACGTGCCATGGGGTCGCACCGTTGGCCGTGCCAAGGGGACGCGCTACGGGACATCCTCAAAATTCCTGCGCGCGGGACGTGGCACGCGCGAGACATCTTCCGAATTCCTGCGAGCGGGACGTGAAAACAAGCATTTCGCCTGAGACATCCTCTGAATTCTGGCCCCCCACGAGGCCCCCGCTCGAGACATCCCCAAGTTTGCAGAAACCAGCGTTTCGCTCGAGACATCCTCAACAAATTATGAAAAACAAGCGTTTCGCTCGAGACATCCGGTCAAAATTCTAAGAAATCCTGACTAAACAAACGAATTAGTCGAGACATCCTCGAAATTCCTGCGCGCGGGACGCGGCCCGCGCGAGACATCCTTGGAATTCCCGCGAGCGGGACACGAAAACAAGCTTTTCGCCTGAGACATCCTCTGAATTCTGGCCCCCCGCTCGAGACATCTCCAAATTTTGCGGAAACCAGCGTTTCGCTCGAGACATCCTCCACAAACTATGTAAAATAAGCGTTTCGCTCGAGACATCCTGCCAAAGTTCTAAGAAATCCTGACAAAACAAGCGAATTAGTCGAGACATCCTCGAAATTCCTGCGCGCGGGACGCGGCACGCGCGAGACATCCTCGGAATTCCTGCGCGCGGGGCGCTTTTCCGAGTCGCGGTCGGGGCTCCAGACCCCGTTATTTTTCGAGGATTCTGCGAAAAACGCTCCGCACCCTCTTTTTTACGTGGGAAAGCGGGGGTCTGCGGACCCCGTTATTTATCGAGGATCCGAGATGGGGGGCGAACTTTCCTCGAGCGGGCACGCACAAAACGCACTTTTTCAAAAACATGATGGACCCACGAACCCGGAAAGGGATATAGACATGTGGAGCATGGGCACGTTTTCACGATACCCAACGGGGCAACACCTCACGAAACATCCCACGAGACACCTCACGAAACATCCCACGAGACACCTCACGAAACATTCCGCGAGAAACCTCACGAAACATTCCACGAGACACCCCGCGAAACATTCCACGAGACACCCCACGAAACATTCCACGACGACAGGCAACCACTCAACCAAGGCGGTGTGGTCGTGTGCTGGCAACCACGAGGAAGTGGTCGTGCTTGGGTTGTTGAGTGTGCTGGGGGGGTGGTCGTGCCTGGGGGGTGGTCGTGTGGGGGTGGTTGGTTTCGTGTGGGGGGTGGTCGTGATGGGGGCGTGTTTGCGTAGTGCTGTGGGCCGTGGTCGTTTCGTCGTGATGGGGGGGTGGTCGTGCTGGGGGGTGGTCGTGCTGGGGCGTGGTCGTGCTGGGGCGTGGTCGTGCTGGGGCGTGGTCGTGCTGGGGCGTGGTCGTGCTGGGGCGTGGGCGTGCTGGGGCGTGGTCGTGCTGGGGTGTGGTCGTGCTGTGGTAAGGTCGTGCTGGGGTGCGGTCGTGCTGGGGTGTGGTCTTGCTGGGGTGGGGTCGTGCTGGGGTGTGATCGTGCTGGGGTGGGGTCGTGCTGGGGTGTGGTCGTGCTGGGGTGTGGTCGTGCTAGGGTGGGGTCGTGCTGGGGTGGGGTCGTGCTGGGGTGTGGTCGTGCTGGGGAGTGGTCGTGCTGGGGTGTGGTCGTGCTGGGGGGTGGTCGTGCTGGGGGGTGGTCGTGCTGGGGGGGTGGTCGTGCTGGGGGGTGGTCGTGCTGGGGCGTGGTCGTGCTGGGGCGTGGTCGTGCTGGGGCGTGGTCGTGATGGGGTGTGGTCGTGCTGTGGTGAGGTCGTGCTGGGGTGGTCGTGCTGGGGGGTTGGGTCTGTGCTCGGGGTTGGTCGTGAATGGGGGGACGTGGTCGTGACTATGGGGGGTGGGTTCGTGCTGGGGCGTGGTCGTGCTGGGGCGTGGTCGTGCTGGGGCGTGGTCGTGCTGGGGTGTGGTCGTGCTGTGGTGAGGTCGTGCTGGGGTGTGGTCGTGCTGGGGTGTGGTCTTGATGGGGTAGGGTCGTGCTGGGGTCGGGTCGTGCTGGGGTGTGGTCGTGCTGGGGTATGGTCGTGCTGGGGTGGGGTCGTGCTGGGGTGGGGTCGTGCTGGGGTCTGGTCGTGCTGGGGTGTGGTCGTGCTGGGGGATGGTCGTGCTAGGGTGGGGTCGTGCTTTTCGCTCGAGAAATCCATTGCCACAATTCCAGGAAATCGTACAAAAAACAAACGAATTAGTCGAGACATCATCGAAATTCCTTCGCGCGGGGCGCTTTTCCGCGTCGCGGTCGGCTCTGACAAAACTAGAGCGTTTCGCTCGAGACATCCTCGGCAACTCTGCGGTGCAAGGTTTCGCTCGAGACATCCTCAACACACGAAAAGTGGCCCGCACCCTGTGATTTATCGATCGGGATTTCAAAAACAAGCGTTTCGCTCGAGACATCCTCAAATTTTAATTCGCCGGCCTCCTTCGACCTCGTTATTTATCAGGGAAAAAATTCGCCGGCCTCCTCAAGTTGGCACCGGGGGACAGGTTTACCTACTAAAAGAGAACCCTGGGCCCAGGCCCTTTCCGGGAAAAATCAGCACTTTACCTCGTTATTTATCGCAAATAATTTCGCCGGCGCTTGACCCGTCAGATCCGGGGGTAAACGGCTAAAAGAGAACCCTGGGCCCACGCCCTTTCCGGGAAAAACACATATACATACATAAATACATGCATACATACATACATACATACATACATGCATACTCACATTCATGCATACATACGTACATGCACCACCACCAGGTGCAAGTGCATCCGCCGGGGTATATATTTATATTTACACACATTCTTTCTATCCTTTGAACCACGATGGACTACAGACAGAGCTCTGGATCACCTCTGGTCCTTCTCTCTTCTTGAACCCCACTTCTAGATCAAACCCTGAACTCACTTGAATTCCAAGGAATCTCCGAAATAGGGCGCTGGCCCTAGACATCCGAACACCCCTCCTCGGCCTTCGTCGCCGCGGCTGGGCGGAGGCGAAGGGCGAAAGCCCAAAACGAAACCAGCGCCTCGATCATTTTTCACGAGACGCGCGCTGGCAAACAGCCGGCGTCAAACATCACAGCACACGGTGCCTCACGCTACCGTCGAACTTCATCGTGAAGCAGATCAGCTTCATCAACCGCTCCATCGTGGCTTGGTCGAAGGCCTTCGTGAACAGGTCCGCCGGGTTCCAGTGCCCCTCGTCCGTCTTCAGCAACAGTCTTTTACTCTGAATACGTTCCTGCAGCCATAGAAATCGAACATCCAAGCGTCGAACAGCCCCCAGTCCCTGTCGGCTTGCAATTCCTCTCGCGGCTGAGCTATCACTGAAAGTGTAAAGCTCCATCTCGTAGTCCACCTCAACTCCAAGGTCGGCCAAGGTGGCCTGTGCTCCAAAACCGTGGCAGGCTCCACGCAGTAGCGCATAGTACTCGGCCTCGCCGCTGCTCAAACTCACCGTGGATTGGACCGCGCTGCCATGTTGCAGCAGATGCGTTCCCCATAGAATGGCCATTCTACTTCGGGAACGCCTCGTAATCTGATCACCCGCGTAGTCGCTGCCACAGTAAACACAAACCTTTCTAGGCAGCTTCTGAGCGGGAAACAGCGACCTTCCAGCGGGGTACTTCTTCAAGTCGCGGCCAATTCGCTTCAAATCCTCCATGTGGGTCTCCTTCGGCTCCTTTATGCGTCTAGTCTGCGTGCTCGCGCTGTAGCTTGTGTCGGGCCGGTCCAGACTCAGGCGCATGATCCGCATGGTCACGCTGCGGTAGGTCTTCACCTTCTCGTCGTCCAGCTTCGGCGAGGTCTGGTTACTACTCGGGATCTCCGCGACAGACCTCTTAACAGCCGGGGTAGTCACCTCCTCCGCGTTCTCCAAGCCCAGGTCCCTGATCACCTTCTTCACGCGCTGGGTGTCCGCTTCGAGGTAGGCCGAACGCTCGAAGGGGTTCCAGATCAACGCCCGGTTGAGATAGACCACGCTCTGTTCCTTCAGGGGCCTGCTGCTCGGAACACCCGTGACCTTAAAGTCGTTGCGCGAAAGCACGTCGTCGAACCACCCCTCCTGGGACTTGCGCATAATCGCACCAAAGTCGCCGCCGTGGACCTCCGCTTGCATATGGCGCTCGGCGTGGTACAGCAGCGCTGGGTTCGAGACGCCCTTCTTGAAGCCGTGCGAGCTCGTCAGGCCGATGTAGTCGTCTTGCCACACATGACTTGCGTCCACTGTGCCATGCATCGTCTTGAGTAGCCTGCCCACCACGGGTTCCGGATCGTCGTAGGTCTCCTCCTCGGGCAACTCCACATACACTTCGCGATTCACATCTCCATAGAAGTGCGCCCTCGAGATGTCGTAAAACTTGTAGGTGATCCCCTCTGCGTCGCCGTCGTGGTAGACGTCGTTCACGCGGTCGACGAAGATGGTCACCAATCATCGCCTTGAACGCTTTCAGCGGTGGCATGGCCGAGAATAGTTCAGTTTGGTATGGTCGATCTCCGGACCTCTTAGCTTTCTTAATCCCCCTCGCGACCAGCCTCGAACGATACCGTGGTTGAGTTCGGTCGCCCTTGTTCGTGTCGATCCATTTCAAGATCACTGCCTTCTTGCCGTTCTCGAGCATCTCGCGTCTAGGTGCCTTCTTCCATACCTGCCTCCCGCGGCACCAATCCAGTTCTTCTTGCCTCGCGGCTTGCACGCCCTCGGAGTCCAAAATCTCGCCCGTGAGATCGCCGATGAAGTAGTCGCCCTGGTACTCAGCGAACAGTATATTCTTCATGTGGGTGTGGTCCTCCGCAAAGAGCTGCAAGTAGGTTGAGCCCTTCTCGTCGTCGAAGCTCCTCTCGTAGGCCTTTGAGAATAGCTGCCACCAAGCTCGGAGGGCATCGTTGTGCATGTTTGGCGCGTCCGTCAACCAAATGAACATGGCGAGCGAGTTCTCCGTTCGGACCCCTGGGGCACCGGCAGTAGCCTTTGAGGATCTCTGCGAGCAGCTCGCTGTTAGTGAGCCACCAGGTCTCCTTCCGAACGAAGCCCAACTGTCCGTTGGAGTCGGTCGCCTGCATGTGCCAGCGGCACACAGGTCCATGGACAAAGAATACGCCTGCCAACTGCATGACCTCCTGAACGCTTGGGCGGTGCCAGCTACTCGCCGACCAAGGTGCTTCGTGAAGAAATAACTTCCCTGCCTTGTAGCGCTCATTGCTGATCTCCATGCTGAAGTTGAGGTGCGTCTCGCCTTCCAGGATCTCCGCCTCCACGATCTTCGGGTCTCGCTTTGAGTCCGAGAGCGTCCGCAAGTTGCTGAGTGGCGTGCACGGGGGGCTGGTGATCGTCAGCAGCGGGTCTTCGTCCTTCAGCTGCTTCTTGCACTCCTTTCTTTGCTCGGGCAATCGCAGATCCCAACCAGTCTCGATATCCACTGCCAGGCCGCGCGCGAGGCCGTACCTGAACGTCATCTCTGCAAACCTTCTCGGCGAATCAACCTCCGCAATGTACACTGCGCACATCTCGGTGAGAAGTGGCGCGGTCTCCTCCGCCTGCTCTGCGTCGTTCACGTTGGCGTTCGTCCGCATCTCGAACATCGCCAGCTCGTAGATCATGATAAACGTGCGGCCTTTGTCGCGGCCGTTGATCCGCGCCAGGAAGTCGACGTCCATCGATCCATCTGGAGCCCGGCTCGGTCTCGATGCCGATGCCGATGCTGAACTTGATGGCGCTGCCTGGGACATCGCTGTGTCGACCAGGTCCTCCACGTTCATCTGCGCCTCCTCCTGGGGCGCCGCTCGCTTGAGCGCGAGCCGAGCTTCAGCAGTTGCAGGTGCTGAGCTTCCTCTCGCATCGCCTCGTGCCCGGGTAGCTCGTCCAGGGTCGGGTGCGTCTCCTCGGCGCTTCCTGGCAGCGCTCGGTTCGCTTCCACTGCCTCCGGCCGGCGCCACCGCCGTCTCGGTGTCCCTCGGCTTGGGGCGGGAGCTCGATCGCCGTCTCCAGAGGGCGGCGGTGGGGCAGCTTGGTCTTCTCCAGCTGCTTCTCGACCTCGAACCTCGACCGCGTGCTGCTTGGTCTCCGGCTCGAAAGTGGTGTTCGGTAACTCGTACTCGATCTGCATCGCTACCCATCATCAGCTCTGCGATCCTGTCGCGGCACTCGTCGCTGTGGGATTTCGTGATCTTGCCCTTCTGCGTCAGCTCCAGACATCCTGGACAGCCCGCAGTAGCGCCATACTTCTCGATGTCGCGGCGTAGGACGCACCTCGCTCGCGGGGCTCGCGGCTCCATCCGAACGGTAGCCACCGCCGGCGCTCTCGCCAGAGCGGGCGCCTCCTCCTCCGGGCGAGTCGCCCAGGGAACTCCTCGAAGAGCTGCCCAGTCCTTGCCGCCCCAGGCTTGCTCCTTCGGCAATTTCTTGACACCTTGGGCCTTCCCCACACCGTCAAACGTCATGACGAGCAGGGCCCCCGTCCGCATGTGGTAGCCCAGGAAGCTCCTGGACTTCATGCGCTCCCCCACGGTGCTCCTGCGACCTCCTGGCGCGAGCGGCCTGTGCATCACCCGCTCGCCGAACTCTGCTTCCAGCTTCTTCCAGTCGCGGCCTGAGCGCCGCTGTTCTCCAGTGAGGCCGTCGGTTCCGCGTCGGTACCGGCCAATGCAGGCCGCGGCGTACTGGGGTAGCCACTTCAAGATCGGGTGGTCATCATCCACCTTCCTGCCGAGCTTGGCCTCCAGCCTCCAGCGCGTACCTGTTCGCCCTGACCTGCCTCTTGACCTCTCGCGCGGTAACCTCGATGCCTCCGTTGCTCTGGTGCTCTCCTGCTGGCGATTCTCGAGGCAGGAACTCCACCGTCGGCGTCGCCGCCGCGAACGCCGTCTTGAGCGCCACGATCGCGGGCCCCCCGTCGCTCTGGAAGATCAGCCTGCGGTAGCCGAGGTGCAGGATGAAGCCCATCAGAATCTTGATCATGAAATTGATGACCTTCTCGCCCGGAATCGCTGTCGAGTAGGGCAGCTTCGTCTTGGAATCTCTGGCCACCAGCGTCGGGAAGTTGTCCTCCTGTCCTGGCCCTCGTCCTCCTCGCCGGTCGTCTCGCTCATGAACGCGAGGTCGATGGCCACAACCGGATCTGCACCTTCACGAGCTTCAGCTTGTAGTTCATGAGGTTGGCCAAGCCCTCGAGCTGCGCAACAGACTTCACACCAATCTCGAGATGTGGCGTGACCTGTAGCCTCGCGTTGATCAACTTCAGCTCGAGTAGGTAGTCGCTTTCGTCCTTGCACTTACGCTGGCGCAACCTCCTGAGGATTGCCGTCATAATCCTCGTCGTCTCCGACCCCTTCTCGTACTTCAGCTGGCTGGGGGGCGGGATCTCTACTCCCCAGCGCTGCCGCTGGTGGTCTCACGGGCGGCCCCGCTGCCGGCGATTCCGGCGGCTTCGAGGCGCTCGCGCCTCCCGCGGGACCGTCGCCTGCCAGTGAGGGCCCGCGCTCGCCGGCGCCCGCGGACAGAGCTCGGCAACAGAAGCCGACCCCGACGAAGTGGAACCGGCAGGTTGGCCCATCAGCACGTCCATCTTGTAGACTCCGTCCTGCAGGTGCAGCGGCACGATGCCCTCGTTGCCCTCAGCCGCGTACTGGTCGATCATCTGGTGGATCTTCTGCGCGAGCTCGCTCTCCTTCAGGATGCAGCCGCCGAAGGCGCCGACCCGCGTGAAGTGGCCCTTGGCGGCGGTGGCCGAGGTGGACAGGAGCGGCTCGCCGACGTTCGCGCGCCTGCCCTTCAGGAACATACTCTCGCCGAACTCCGACACTCCATTGATGCCGACGCCGCCCTCGTCCTCTACGACATCGCCGGTGGCTGCGCGGCATGAGCTGCCGTCGGCCTCGGTGTGCTCGCCCTCCTGCTCGAGCGGGAAAGCTGTGGCAGCGGCGCCGGTGTCGAACGTCATCGCAATGCGCTTCCTGCACTGCTTCTCACCCTTCGCCTCCGCGCTGTTCAGCTCCAGCACGCGCTCGAAGGCGTTGGGGCTGAGCGCGGCGGGCGACTGGTTGCATGCGCCGGCCTGCGAGGCCGATGCCGGTAGCTGCGTGCTGATCGTGCTCTGCGCGTCGCCCTCGAAGTTGTCGAGGTAGCCTCGGCGAACGCCTTGCCGTTGGAAACGCTGACCCTTCGGATCCTTGCCGTCTCCTTTGCCCTTGCCTTTGTCATCCTTACTCCCTCTCTCGGTGGGCTTCCAGCAGTCTCGTGCGCGATGGCACTTCTTTCGGCAGTCCCAGCAGGTCACGTTCGAGTTGTCCGCATTCCCTTTTTTCCGCTGCCGGCCTTGCCCTTGCCATCTTTGCCCTCGCCCTTGCCCCTGCCGTGCTTGCCCTTGCCGTCGCCTCTCCTGGCGAACGCGTCGACCTCCATCGGGTCGCCTCTCGACCGACCAAGGGCTCCTTGAGCTTCTCTGGTCTCCAGGAAGCTCCTGACCTCCTGTCGCATCGCAGTGTAGTCCTGGGGCCTGGTGCGGTCGAGGGCGAGGTGCATCTCGACGTCCTGCGGCGCGAGGCTCTCGAGCGCGCCCATCTTGATCGTGTCGTCTAGGTGTGCGTCTCGACCGTCGGCTCTGCGCCTCTCGCAGCGCCTGACCAGCTCTTCCCATATCGCAACCTCTGCGGCCAAGTTCTCGAGCTCTGCGACCCCGGTCGGCGCCGTGATCTTCTTGAGTAGCACGTGGCGGCGACCGCCGCTGGTAGGGTCCCAGCGCCGCACCAGCAATCGTAGGGCTTCAGCTCCATTGCCTTGGCCTGCGCTGACCGCCAGGTCGAAGGACTCGCCCTCCGTGAGCGAGACGAACACCGCGTAGAGCTGCGAGAGCTTCTCGTCCACATTGTCGACTGCCTCGCCGCCCTCGGCCTCATTCACAAACTGCTCCACCGCAGCGGCCGTGTCGAGCGTGACCGTGTCGTTCGCCTGGTCAACTGCCCCACTCGATCACCGGCCAGAAGGTCACGCCGAAGACACTGCGCGCGTAGCTATTGAGCTTCTGGAGCCACTCGCTGAACTTCGACTCTTCGTTCTTGAAGGCCTGTGGCTTCCCGATATCCTTCGCTTGACTCAGCTGGGCCGCCGGTGGCGGCGGCCGTTCTGCGACTCGCTCGAGCACCTCGTCGAGCCGTCTGATGATCTCAAGCTCTCCGGCCTGGTCCGCTTGTCGCTGGGGCGCGGCGTTTTGTTGCCGTAGATCGTGTATGTCCTGTCGAGCCTGTTGCTCTGCGTCGCGCATCTCGTTGAACGTCTCTTGGTGGAGCGCCATCTCGAAGACCGAACCGCTCAGCTCTCCTGTGGTTCTTCACGTAATCCAAGTACTGCCCGAACTCGTGCCAGTATCCCTTCAGTCGGCTGAACCGAATCAACTTCGGCACAATCCGTTGCCAGTCGTCCTCGACGGCCACCTGAGTCCAACGCTCGTGGGTGTCTGTCGCGGAGCTCGTCGTGCCGAACTCCGTCGTCTCGGTCTGTCGTGCCGTCAGTAGCGGATCTCGCGCGCGCTGGCGCGCGGGTGTGAAGAGTGGCGGGACTGGGAGCTGGAGCTAGTCCAGCTCCGCTACCATCTTTCTATCTTTTGAACCACGATGGCCTACAGACAGAGCTCTGGATCACCTCTGGTCTTTCTCTCTTCTTAAACTCCACTTCTAGATCAAACCCGAAACTCACTGAAGTTCCAGGGAATCTCCGAAACATGGCGCTGGCCCTAGACATCCGAACACACATGTACATACATATACATACACACATATATATATAGATAGATATATACATACACATATGCATATGCCTCCAGCGACCGAGAGACGTCACTGCGGCGAGAGCTAAGGCGGGGCATGCTCAGCTTCAATTCGTGTCAATTCCACCTGGCGATTGCAGATGGGAGGGTTCTGGGCTTCGCAGAGTGAGTTGCGTGCGAAAAAAACGGTGACAGCTGAGCTAGGCGAGCAACAGAACCTCGCGCTCAAACGCCCACCCACACACCCACACATACACACTTTTTGACGATCGCGGCCTCGCGCGCAACGCCGGTCCAGGCGCAGCAAGTCGGGCACGGCAAACGGGCCACGCACGCGCCGGCCTCAGAGAGGGCGCGCCCACCCCAAGCGCAGATGGAGCGCAGCGGCACGACGCGACGGCGAGCGACGGACGACAGACGAGACGACAGGAGGGGGCGCGGGGGAAGGGAGGGAAGGGGGGGGGGGCGAGGGAAGGAAGGCGCGCCGGCCCGCCCCCCCCCCCCCCCCCCCCACCACACACACACACATTCTGGCGTCGCGGATGCGCGCGCGCGGCGGCGCTGCGCAGCACAGGTCACGCGGAAGCGCGGACCAGCCCGGCGTTGCGCGGCGTGGAGAAGCTGGACGCACCCACGGGGGCTGCAGTCGGACCTGGGCCAGAGCAGCGCCCTCCGAGAACGCGAGGCCCTCCGCCGGCCAGAGCACACCGAACGGCCAAGGGCACCCTCCCCAGGATGCCCAAAAACGCCCGGCAGGCACGAGGCGCACCCGGGCACCGTCCCTTGGCCGACCTCGACCGTCTCTGCCCCGGCCCGACTCCGCGCGCGCCTCCTCCAGGAGGGCGGCCGGCCCAGCTCGGCGCGCGGGGAGGAGGCGTGGGGGCGCGCACGGCTGCGCGTGCGGGCGAGGAGGCCGCTGCAGAGGCGGGCAGGGGCGGCGCGGGCGGCGCGTGCAGCGGCAGAAGAGGAGGCGCGCGCACCCCGCGGGGGGCTACATGGGACGCGCAGAGGCCTACTGATGCTATACGTCCTCCTTGGAGGCGCGCGTCCGACCCGAACATATAGTATGCCCATCTTGTAGCACATCGTTTCCCGAGCGGTGTGGCCAGAAAGCGCCCGCCACGACGCAAAGACTGTAAGATTTCTCGGTGCGCGCGTCGCCCCTGGGGGGGCGACGCACATATGGTATCAAGGACAGCGGGTCCAACTCGGCGGGGGGCATGCGCCGAGTTTCTGAATGAGCGTCGGGGGGGCGCCACCCCCGCCGACAGCCCCACATCGACCCCCGTCGCGGGCAGCCACCGCGCGGCGAAGGCGCTCCGACCCCCGCCGCGGCGCGACGACGAGGCGAGGTTGACCCCCGTCGGGGGGGTACCCACCCCCACGCTTATTAAGAAATCCAGAGTATAGGCGGGACGCACGGCTCGCGTGAAGAGGCGAGGCGGAGGCGCGTGCGCGACGGGCGGGCACACGTAAAGCGTGACGCGGGCGGCACGCGCCGCGACAGCAGAGGAGACGTGCTAGCGGGTGCACACGCACACGCACTCCCACCCGGGCTACGGAATTGCGAGGTGTCCCGCATGCAAGAAGAGGGTGCGGAGGAGGAGGAGGAGGAGGAGGAGGAGGAGGAGGAGGAGGAAAGCAGGAGGAGGAGGAGAGGAGTAGGGAGAACAGAAAGAAGGCAAATGACGAGGGGGATGAGGAGCAACAGAAGGACGAACGGGGGGGGGGGACGGAGACAGGTTCGAGAGGAGTGAACAAGAGGAGCCGGAGGAGCAGAAGCAGGAGGAGGAGGAGGAGAATGCGGAGGACGAGCAGGAAGAGGAGAATGAGGAGAATGAGGAGAACGACGACGACGACGACGACGACGGCGACGACGCGACTGCGACAGCAACGGCGACGGTCACGCACGACGACGACGGCATGAGGAAGACGACGACGGTATGAGGACGACGACGACGAAAGGAGGAGGAGGACGACGACGATGACGACGATGACGAGAGGAGCAGGGAGGGCAATCCTTCTCCAACGCCGCTCCGCGGTGCAATAATAATACGGCTTCTGCGCTCGGGGGGGGAGGGGGGCGATCCCACCACGCCCGCCGACACGGCTGTCCTCGCCCTCACCACCCATCCCCCTTGAGAAACGAGGGAGAGGGTAGGAGGAGTATGAACGAGAAGAGAAAGATGGATGATGATGATGATGATGATGATGATGATGATGATGATGATGATGATGATGATGATGAGGAGGAGGAGAGGAGGAGGAGAAGGAGGAGGCGGAGGAGGAGGAGGAGGAGGCGAAGGAAGAGGAGCAGGAGATGAGGAGGAGGAGGCGGAGGAGGAATGAGGAAAGAGAAGCAGGAGGGGAAGGGAAAGGGGGAGGAGGAGGAGGAGGAGGAGGAGGAGGAGGAGGAGGAGGAGGAGGAGGGGAGGAGGAGGAGGAGGAGGAGGAGGAGGAGGAGGAGGAGGAGGACGACGACGAGGAGAGGGGGAGCAGGAGAGGAGGGGATGAGACGAGAGGATGAGGAATGGGGGGAGCAGAGATCAGAGAAGGGGATGGAGGGGCAGTGGAGGAGGGGAGGAGGGCAGGAGGACGGAAGCGGATGGGGAGGAGGCGGCGCCGCCGCGGGTCCTCGTGGCCACGGCCCCCGCCCGCAGCAGCGGCCGCTGCCACGGCCGGCCCCGCCCCTCCGCAAGCGAGCCGCCGCACAGAGCCCTCCGCGGGAGCGCGCCGCCGCGAGGAGAGCGCAGCCCCGGGGCGACACCGCCGCGCCCAAGAGCCCGCGGCGGCCACCGCTCGGGGCAGCCTGTTTGGACGGGTGCTCCTCGGAAGCCGGCGGGGGCCCCGTCTGGTTCGGAGGGCCGCTCACGAGCACCAGCATTTCCTCCTCCTCCTCCTCCGCCTCCTCCTCTCTCCGCTCCCTCCTCTCCTCCTCCTCCTCCTCCTCCTCTCCTCCTCTCCTCCTCCTCCTCTCACCTCTCCCCTCCTCCTGCCTCCGCCTCCTCTCTCTCACCTCCTCCTCCTTCCTCCTCCTCCTCCTCTCTCCTCCTCCTCCCTCCTCCTCCTCCTCCTCCTCCTCCCTCTCCCCTCCCCTCCTCCCTCCTCTCCTTCCTCCTCCTCCTCCTCCTCCTCCCCTCCTCCTCCTCGTCCATTCCTTGCCCTTATGCAGAACTTCTCCCTGTCGCACCCCGAGGCAAGCTTTTAGGGCGGGCGGGGCGTTTCGCCTGAGACTTCCTCATCACGTATGACCCTGGAGCTTAAACGTTGACAACAATTTCACGGATGGACGGCCGGTCGTTTTCAAAATGTGGCTCTCGCCTTAGCACCGCGTGCATTCGATCTGACAAATTGCGAGAGCTTCACGGGTTGAGGGCGAGTGGCTTTCAAAATATGGCGCTCGCCTTGGCGCCGCGCACGCTCGATCAAACAAATTGCAAGAGCTTCACGGATTGAGGGCGGTTCCTTTTCAACATGTGGCTATCGCCTTAGAGCCGCCTGCACTCGCTTCAAACATTTGCAAGAGCTTCACGGATTGAGGGCGGGTGGTTTTCAAAATATGGCTCTCGCGTTAGCGCCGCGTGCACTCGCTTTAAAGATTTGCAGCAAGAGTTTCATGGAATGAGGGCAATTCCTTTTCAAAATGTGGCTCTAGCCTTAGCACCGCGCACATTCGTTTTTCAAGGTCGCGAAAATTTCACGGATTCCTATGGTCGACGTGCCAGTGGTGTTCCGGAAAGATTCAGGACTATGCGGTTGCAGCAGTCATGTTGTTTCGCGGTACTGAAGTCCCAGGAATGGCGATCTGGTGCGATCCAGGATCGTCAAGACGCAACATTCATGTTGATCTGTGGCGCTGGAATCCCGAAAACAATGTTTTGGCAAGCTTCAGGGTCTTCAAACGGCTGTCTTCCAACGGGGCAGTTCCCTCAGTGGACATGAACAGTTGTAGGGGCCTGTGAACAGGAAGCTTGGAGGGAGGGTGCATTCCAATATCGCTGCTCACTCTTAGGTTTACACTGGTCCTCCTCCTCATCATCATCATATTCCTCCTCATCCTCCTCTCACTCCTCCTCCGCCTCCTCCTCCTCTTCCTCCTCTTCCTCCTCCTCCCGCTCCTCCTCCTCCTCATCCTCCTGCTCCTCCTCCTCCTTCTCCTCCTCCTGCTCCTCCTACTCCCTCCTCCTCCTCCTCCTCCTCCTCTGCCTCCTCCTTCTCCTCCTCTCAAGCCATTGTGGGTCAGGCCTTCTTGGGGGGAGGCCCCGACCCGCACGCGCGCGCGCGTACCGTGTGTCGGTGCTCTGCGAGCGCAGGGCGGCAAGGCACACCCGCGGCTTGAGGGGCGCCCAGACGGGCGGCGGAAGTTGCGCGTGTTTTGTACGGACCAGCTGCAGCTGCGGATGACCAAGGGAGGCAATCATGACCGCCCACGTTCGTCCAGCCGCAGCCGCAAGAATGAGTATCTGGTATGTCCTAATTGCCCTCGGTCTTGGGTGTTTGTGCACAAGGCAGGGAAGACGGGATGGGAGAGTTGCCGAGAGTGTGGCCGATTGTGGAAAGATCCAGCCAGGGCGATCGTCACGTTCGACTTGGGGGAGAACGAGGGGGGCGCGAGCTTGCCCCTCCGATCATGTCTCAAGGGAAGCGGATTGGGCCTGGACCCGATCCTCCAGGTACTCCTCCCGAAGTTCAACAAGGCCAAGGAGGACGGAGATCAGGAGGCCCAGACCAAGCTCCTGGCCGTCTGCCCAGACTTGGAGGCTGCGTGGAAGCCGCCTCCAGAGGCCTCACCAGTGGAGCGCCTGGCTCAGAAGGCGCAACAGCTCCGCCAGCTCCAGGCGCAGCAGGGGCGGATCAAGAACCAGCTGGCGCAGGCGGCTCAGACGCTCAAAGATATGCAGACCAAGCTCAGGACCAACATTGATGAATGCCAGTCGGCGCAGTCCGAGATCGACGAATTGGTTGGCAAGACCAAGGCAGCAGGACCTCAGTCGGATGCACGGCAAGCACAACAGGCTCACCAAGAACAGGAAGAAGAGTTCCCAGTGTTGGAGACCGAGGAATTGGCATCCCTCGATGAGCCCACTCGGAAACAGTACGAAGAAGCGGCAGCGGCTCACAAGAAGGCTCGCAACTTGCTCAAGTCGGCCACTGACGCGGGCAAAGCGGCGCGAGAGGCTGCAGAGAGGCTGCGAACGCTGCACCACTCCATCAAGAGGCGCAGAGGGGCGGGAGGTGAAGCCCAAGGAGCAGATGCAGCAGCGGCGAAACCAGACGAGAGCGCTGCAGCGGCAACTCCAGAGGCGGTTGACTTCACGGACCCGAGTGCGATCGACCAGTACATTGCCAAGACAGCGGCGCTCCGTGCCAGGGCCAAGAGGGCAGCCAGCGTTGCACCGTCGAGCTCCTGACGGCGCCATCGTCGACACAAAGAAAGAACGACCTACACGAATGAAGAGTGGCTATGTGGACGTGCTGTTCGCCAATGTCACGCACTACGGGGAAAAGGTGCGACGCTACGTGGAGCACTGCAGTTTTGACATGGTCGGCTTAGCAGAGCATCGCCTGCTCCCAAAGGCCGCCAAGCAGGAGATCAAGAAACTGAGATTCAAGGGGTGGCAATCCCAGTTCTCGTGGACGCCTGCGACACCATCGATGCGGAGTAAGTCTGGTACTCAAGGGGGGACGTGCTGGCTTGCCAGAGCAGGCCACGTCACGGCAGCACACTTGCCCGATGGCACGGGGCACAGTGTATGTCAGAAAGAACTGCACGACATCTCGATCATCCTCTGGCGTTTGAAAGGGGCGACGCTGGCTTTGATCTCGGTGTATCTTGATTGCAGTGTGGGACTAGACGGACCAGCGAACGTCGCCAAGATGGTACAGCTGACACGCGTGGTGAAGTCCCTAGGAGTGCCATGGGTAGCACTTGGAGATTGGAACAACACACCGACGCAGATGCAGCAGTCACCATGGTTGAAGGCTCTGAGGGGAGAGTTGCTGATACCAAGCGATTGTACCGTCACTTGTTCCACAGGCAAAGGCAGACTCATTGATTACGGGATAGCTTCGCGAGACTTTCGCCCTTTTGTGAAGGAATTCAAGCCTGTGAGGGAAGTTCCATGGAGCCCGCATGTGGGCCTCCACCTGCGCCTGCACTCGCGACCCGCCTCGGTCAAGGTGCAGATGCCGATCCAGCCAGTGAAGATCGAGATCGCCACCACCACGGCCCACAAAGAGAAAGGACTCAAGCGAGCCCAACGTGATCGTGAGAAGTATCAGAAGATGGTGGCAGCAGCAGCAGAGCGCGACGAGAATGCAGCAACACCAGGAGACCTGCATCATGATGAGTATGGGCACCTCCTGGAGACGACGTACGCCACTAAGCAGAAAGAGGCGACCAGCGATGAGCAGTGGTTTCAGGCGCTGGCAGACACCCGAGGACGAGCGGTTCAAGACCCAGTTGATGATGTGGCAGACTCCTGGGCGCATCGGCTGGACCCTGAGGGCTCCAACAAGCTGGCCTACCACTTTGGCGAATGGTCAGTAGCAGCGGAGCAGTCACTGTGCATCATGACGGATGCCAAGCCAAAAGATAAGTTGCGAAGAGGATGCAACCCCAAGTTCACGCTGCGCAAGGTCACCATTCAAGAGAAGACAGACCCCTTCTTGGACGCGGCCCTCAGGGAAAAGGCGAATCTGTGGGAGGCCTTGGCTGCCAGACTGAGGGAGTTGGCAATACTGAAGGCGCGGCAGAAGAAAGATGAACACTTGAAGCTGGTTGAGAGCGTCATGCGCTCGCTCAGTCAGCGCATCGAGCTCATTGACCAGGCCAAGGGCGGCATGCAGGACACCGACAGGGACAAGGAGGAGGACAGCAGGGTGCTGCTCAACTTGACGCAGTATCTAGCAGGCCAGCCTTGTCAGTCACTGCGGGGCCCGCTGGGCCCAAAGCCGTCAAAAAAGCAGCGGAAGGCCGGAGAGAGCGGCACCCAGAAGGAGGCGACGGAGATTGTCCCACCAGTGGCCACCAGCAGCATGGACTGCGAGGACGACCCCTTCGTGCAGATGGATGCGGAGGCGGACGAGCCCAACCTGCAGCAGCTGCAGCTGGAGGAGGCTGCTGAAGCAAAGGGGGAAGGTGCGACGGCAAGTGCTGCTGAGCAGCCCCAACTGGCCCGCTCTACGGGGTTGGGGACACGAGGGACCTCGATGGCGGGAAGCTCGACACCTACGGCTCCACCGACTGGGGGTACATCGTCCCAACTGGCCCGCTCTACGGGGTTGGGACCACGAGCGACGAGGGAAGCAAGCAGTTCGACACCCTCGACGCCGTCTACTGGGAGCACGCCGCCCCAACTGGCCCGCTCTACGGGGTTGGGGCCAAGAGCGTCAGGGAGCGCGAGCAGTTCTACTTCGATGTCGCCGTCTACTGAGCAGCCCCAACTGGCCCGCTCTACGGGGTTGGGGACACGAGGGACCCTGATGGCGGGAAGCTCGACACCGATGGCTCCACCGTCTGGGGGCACATCGTCCCAACTGGCCCGCTCTACGGGGTTGGGACCACGAGCGACGAGGGAAGCAAGCAGTTCGACACCCCCGACGCCGTCTACTGGGAGTACACCGCCCCAACTGGCCCGCTCTACGGGGTTGGGGCCAAGAGCGACAGGAAGTGCGAGCAGTTCTACTCCGATGTCACTGTCTACTGGTTGTTCGTGGATGTCAGAACGCTCCAGGGCCCCGCAAGGGAGCCCTGGATCGCCGTCGCCACCTGGACGACCCGCGCCCTGGGCACTCCAGCCACAGGAGGAGGGAGCTCCAGCGAGCGGCGCGGGCGGACAGGAAGCTTGCTGGATTCGTGATAGCAATGGCAGCACAGACAGCGGTCACTTCCCCCTGCGTGGCGAGGGGTTAGGCCACAGTGGGCAGGAGCAGATGAGGACTGAGCTAGGTGAGCCCCTCGACTCCCCCACCACCCTGATCGAGCCAGGTGGGCCCTCCGTGACGTCGAGGTCTGAGCTAGGTGAGCCCCTTGACCGAACAGGAGCAGATCAGAGCGAAGCATCGGAAGAAGCAGAACTGATAGCTGAAGTTTTCCGACGCGCAGCCCGTCATGCTGCCCTGGCCTGGCGGGACACTCGAGCACAAGTACGAACATGGGCCAAGAAGGCAACAGACAATGCGATGAAAGGAGCACATCGTTATCTGAGTTCCGAGGAGCGAATCGACACGAGTGATGGATGCTTGGACCCAGACACCAGGAAGTGGGAGATGGACCCGCAGAAAGGAATTCAACTTCGACGACGGCAGTGGGAACGGCGATGGACGGCTCACAAGGAGTTTGCCACGAAGGAGCTCCCGCAAGCCATGCGCGACCTGAAGAGCAAGGCACTGGAGGCGCTCGCCGAAAGGCCCTTCCTCACGCGTGAGTGCCTAGACATGGCGCTGAGCAGCTTCCAGGCGGGGACTGGGCTTGGTGCTGATCAATGGGCGCCAGACCAGTTGCGAGCGCTCAGCCCGTCGTGCAAGGAATCGTTCCTCCTCATCTTGAAGATGTGCGAGAGGCAGTTGACTTGGCCACATCAGATAATGCAGATATGGCATGCCCTACCACCAAAGGGGGACAAACAACTAGCGGGGGAAGAGCGGCCCATAGGGCTGATGCCGATGACGATGAGAGTCTGGGGTAAGATGACCAAACATCGATTAACTGAGTGGTGTGATCGAAAAGCGGGGTTCTGGGACGCGGCAGTCAGGAAGAGTTCGGCGTTGCAGTCGGCACTGCTAACACTTGTTCTGGACGAAACACGGGCCAATCTAGACGAAGCCAGCCAAGCTACGTTCTTCCAGGACTTAGAGAAGTTTTACGATTTGGTAGACTTAGGCATATTAGCAGTACGTGCAGCGCAGGTCGAGTACCCCCCAGTAGAGCTGTACATGTGCATCATGTCGTACCTCTGCCCTAGGCTAGTCAAGGCTAATAAGATCTACAGTGACTTGATCGTTCCTGACAATGGGATGGTACCAGGATGCGGGAAAGCTAACCACGGAGCGCGAGCACTACTCTATCATGTGCTAGAAGAAGTACATCTAGCCGTCCCGATAGCGAGGTTGCGACAGTTCGTGGACGACATCACCGTGAGGGTCGAGGGCCCTGACGACGTGGTAGGTGCAGCGGTGTCGAAAGCAGCGAGCGTCCTGGTTGGAGGCTGCCTCAAGGCGAGGCTCAGGATCTCCGACAAGTCAACCATCCTTGCCCAGAACCCCCAGGACGCCCTGGAGGTGGAGAGGCCCCTGGCCGAGTTTAATGTTTCCATCAAGAAAGGCAAGGAGATGAAGGACCTGGGGACCGACAACACCATGGGGATACGTAGATCCAGAAAAACGGCAACAAGAAGGAGTAGACTCGGCAAAATTCGGGCCACCAGGGCCGGTTTGTTCGCCAGTTTGGGACGGGCCCGACGTAAGAAAAGCAAGCGCCTATTTAATGCTAACGTGCGGGCTAAGATGTCCTACGATAGCCCTCTCTTCGGCCTCCCCCCGACCGAAATCCGAAAGCGGAGAGCTCTGGCAGCGGACTTAGCTGGTTTTGGAAAGAAAGGCCGCTGCACCGCGATGGTCATGCTGCTGATGTATGGGGAGGGGGACCCTTGGGCTGCGTGCGTGAAGCGCCAGGCCAAAGAGTGGCTCATTTTCTGGGCCAACAACCCCACCCTCAGGCAGCAGGTTCGGAGGGGGTGGACGGCCACTAAGTTTAAGCTTGCTAGGTTGAAGCCCCGATCCCGATGGCGAGCAGTAACGGGGCCTATGGGGGCCTTGTTGCTCACCCTTCGGTCCCTGGGATGGGTCGGGGTTGAGCCTGACGTTTGGGAGGACCCCGACGGTGCTCAGTGGCGTTTCAACCCCGACCTGTCCGAGGATGTGACTGAAATTTGTGATGCCCTGGCCCAGTCAGTTCAGAAGCAGTTGTGGAAGCAAGCCTCCTTGCACAGTGAAGGAGCCTGCCTCAAGGACGGGGGGGACCTCACCATGTTGCAAATTAATGTCAAGCGCATGCATAAGAAAGATATGTACCAGGAAGCTGGCGCCCTGGAGGGGATAGCGTGTGCCACAATTTGGAATGGAGATCGCCAGAAGCGAGCTGGCTATCAGACAGACGGCTTGTGCACTAGGTGTGATCTAGGGGCCCCAGATACCATGCGTCATAGGACTTACGAGTGTCCCAGTCTGGCCTAGTTGGAGAACCCTTGGATTGCCAGAACGGGACACTTGTGCGAGCGAGCGATCCGCGACCTCGATCGAGGGGTTAATGAACCGCTTTGGCTCCGAGGGATCGTTCCCCTGTCATGGAATCCTGTGCCTCCCCCACCAGAGTGGGGGGATGTGAATGCCTGGCGTGTTAGAGCTGTTGGCACCCCACCACCCGCCATCGGTCCCAATGGAGAAGTGACGCCAGCCCGAAGGCTGGAGGCGAGGTTTGGCTTTTTGGATGGTTCTGGCACGTCGTCGGACCCGCGTGTGGCGCGTGTTGGGTGGGGCGTCTATCTCCAGATGGGACTGCATGGCCCTCCCGCCCCTGGAGCCTCGGACCCTTCCCCTCCCCTCCCTGGGTGGTATGGGGGAGTCGACGGCCGCCAGACCGTCCCAGCAGCAGAGCTCGCTGCCTTGTGGTGGTGTTTGGAGCTCACGACTGGGGATATAATTATAAATACTGATAACCAGGCAGTCTTTGATGGGTGGCACGGGGGTAAGCTTGACAACCCCAGCGGTGTGCTCAGGGGGTGGTGGCAGAGAGTCAGTGCCGCTGCCCAATCCCGCCCTGGGGTTGTCACCCTCCGCAAGTGTTTTTCCCACCTCGATACCCATTCCCACCTCCTGTCCTCCCAGCCTCCCTCCGTCTCCCGTGGGAATGAGTTGGCCGACGCCTACGCCCAGAGAGGGGCTGAGGAGGCGAGTGCGGCCATCAGAGGAGAGATCAAGGCCTTAGGCGTCGCGGACGCCTGCGCGACCCTCGCCCAGCAGCGCCTGGCAGCGGTGACCAGGGAGCTCGCGTCGCAGGACCGCGAGCAGTGTGCACGGACTCCCGAGGGGGGAGGGGGGGCTGCTTCCAGGCGGGTTGTCGAGCTCGAGCGTGTGTCGGGCCACAATTTGGGGCGGTTGGCCAATGGGGCGTGGCTGTGCCGTCGGTGCCGTCTGGGGCCGCCTCCTGGGTCGTCGCTTGTGGACTGGCTCGGGCTCGAAAATAAACGCTGTAAGGGGGACCCCACCCATCGGCACTTGAGCGAGAATGATAATGTTGTGCTTGTGCCCCGCCCTGTGACCACGGAGCTGAGGACGGCCAACAAGCATGTCCACCCCTCCCATTGCGTGGCCATGCGTAACGGGCAAGTTTGGTGTTGGGAATGCGCCAGTCTGGGCACCGTGGTGAACGGGGGGGGCCGTCTCTTGCTCTTGGCGAAGCCGTGCCGTGATTGGACCACCCCCTCGGGAGATAATTATCTTAGCAGATTGCGCAAAGGGCTCCCACCAAAGGGCAACAAGTGGCCCAATGACAAGGGAGCTGGGCGCCTCCGAGTTGAGGCAGGGTCGAGTGTAATCAAGTCACTTTTGAAACCCAAGTCTCGGAGATAGAGTGCTATCGAGAGCCGCCCCCCGAGGGGGGGGTGTAATTGTCCAGCTGTGGCTTCGCTGCTGACTGGCACCCTTCAGCATTCTCCCAGCATTCTTCCATCCCCTGCCTCACGGGGTGCACGAAATACAGGTGGCAATTAAGAAAGATATGCATCCCAAGGGGGCACGATCGAAGACGAAGAGGGCGGGTATCGAGGGGTTTGAGTTTTACGTGTTGAATGGAACGCGAGCAAGTAAAAACGCACAGTTTTAAGATGATAGAACTCTCGCTTCTGAAGAATTATTAACGTTGGTTCCCCCTCTGGTAATATGTCTGCTTTCAACGGAACAGTGCGCCTCAGGCGGGGCTCGCCACTCACGCAAGAGATTCTGACTGGTGCCTAGATAATGGCATAGAAAAGTGGGCCCCACTCGGCAATCTCAGTCCAGTCCCGCGACGGATTGGCCGAGCTCGGAACCAGGTTTGGAAGGAACGCCTGGTTTCATCGGCAAGGGGGGGATCTAGTGGACAATCTCACAAACTGCGTTGTTGGGCCCCTGGCTACAACAACAACGGCTCCCACCTGATACTTCCTCACAAGTTACTCCCAAATCGAGCTCTCGCGCGGAACTTCTTTACACTGTATGCAGACATCGCGCTCTCGCGTGGGAGCTCCTCGCAATTGATTCAGACGCCACGCCCTCGACATTCAGGAGTCACGATCTCGTCGCTGCGGGCTTCCTCACGATTGATTGGGGAATCGATCTGTCGCTCGAGACTTCCGCGCGATCCACGCAGGACGCACACTTCGGCAACCTGCCTGCCTGACCTGGCCGCCTGGGCCCCCCCTCCCGACTTGCCCGGTAGGATCTACCCGCCCAATCTGCCCGTCCGGTTCTGCCAAACCCCCTCCTGCTACTGTCTCTCGTTCTCCATCCTCCTCCCACCCCCTTGCATCTTCTTTCCATTCGTCCCCTCTTCCCCTGCCACAGGGGCTGCACGAAATACACGTTGCAGGCAAGAAAGGTATACCCCCACCGGGGTACGGTCGAAGACGAAGGGGGGGGGGTATCGATAGTTTGGGAAATACGTGTTGAGTGACAACCGAAAATACAAAGAGCGAGCAATGATAAACTGACTGTTGGTTTTGTTGTGGTTGTTGGTGTTGCTGCTACTGCCATTGTTGAGGCTGATGCTGTTGCTGTTGCTGTCGTTGTAATTGTTGTTGATGTTGTTGTTGTTGGTGTTGTGGTGTTTGTTAAATGTTTGTTGTTTGCAAAGAAGAGCAACAAGAAGGTACAAAAAAAAATACCAAACAACCTCAACCGAACAAAGAATTCACCCACACCGCAGACAAACGAATTAAACCTAATCTAAATGCTATAAAAGGGGGGCAAAATATTTCTTACAGATTAGAAATCACTTTCAATGATTGGGCATTTTATGATAAAATTTTTATCGTGTCATGAAAATATTCCCCTGCAATTGGGGGGATACAGGCCCAGACATGCTCATAGATCCTAATAGTGGCGAAAGGTACGCTTCGTCCTACCACGAGAAGCCCTGCCGCTCGACTCACCCGCGACCCACCCGCGATCCACCCGCGATCCACCCACGACCCACCCGCGACCCACCCACGACCCACCCGCGACCCAGCCAGTTTATTTGACTAACAAGACGGCGCCTGCGGCAGGCTCGTTGTACCATTTGATTCAACATCGGCGCCTGCGGCAGGCTGCCGACGACCCCGCCGCCCCCTCACTCTTGTCCGCAACTGCGGGGTGCTGTGCATTTCTTCACCCCCCCTTTAGCCACTGCACCGCCCGAAGATCGGCTACGGCTCGGCTGCGGTGGAAGGCGCATGCTCAGCGATCCCCCTCGTTCCGATGCCTCTTGGAACATCGTTGACACCGAGCGCCATGCGACGTCTACGCACAAGGCGCAGCAAAGGTGCGCCTCTGCCTTTGATGCAATGCTCCTGCTGCTCCTCTGGACGTTCCGCGATCGCTCGGCCTCCTCGTCGCGCTCAAGTCCCGCCTGACGACAGGAAGGCCCGAACGCCCCCTGCTCTCGCGGACGAAGCTCCTGCGAGACAACGCAATCCGCGAGCGGCAGCGTATGCGTGTCCACGCCTTCGCGGTGTGTATTTCGGGGCGCTGTCCGCCGGATGCGCGGTCGCACGGGTACGATCCGCGCGGGGCATCCGCGAGAAAAAAAAACACGCATCCCGGGGTAACGGCCCAGGGGCCGGGCCCGTGGGGCCGTGGATACGGATAGGTCCCTCGCCCACGACACCTGGGCTCGGCATCGTAGACGACTTCCTGCCACCACGCCATCGTTGATTGGGTTGGCGCAGTCGACGATTCGTGAGGATCTGTCTCCGAAGCGGCCGGCGACTGGCGCAACTGATCTGCACATGATCTTCCGACAACGCTGGATACATTGCATCGCTGCTTACTCGGCGGGGAGCACGGCACTGCACTCCACCGCCGGGCAAATTCCCTGGAAGCCCGCCGCTTCCTGACTCGCGCCATGCCCTTGCATGGGAGAGGGGGCGCAGTCCCAGGATTCAGCAATAATAACACGGAACTATCAATATTTGTGCCTTCGGAAGCGTGATTTCCTAAATTCAACGCGCCAAGTATCATCATCAAAAGAAACCCGACGCTGTCCTGAATGGGCGTATGCCACCTCGCAGCATCAGTCCGCGTGATCGGAAATTGGGGGG